GCAGGAGGTAGGCCCCCCCTTCCCCAGCTGCCCCACGCGGGCAGGGGGGCAACAGGGCCACCCGGGGGGGTGACGGGGGACACGGTGGCATCGCGGGGGCGTCTGCGGGGAGGTTTGTTTGCAGAGAAGCCCGCGAAAGGAGCTGCCTTTGCCGGTGGCATCCAAACCCGAGCGCAGAGCAAATGCGATCTCGGCTCTCCCTGCCTGGCCGGTTGGGGGGAACATCCTGACGTCATGCCACGAACGTCCTGACGTCACGTCATGAACATCCTGACATCGTGCTGGGCAGAGTGCGGCTCGTGGGCGGCGTTTCCAGGCTGAGTCAATAATTTGGGCAAAATTGCAGGAAGCGGGTCAAAACTCCCTGATGTTCCCGGTGCCACGAGCAAGCTCTGGGCGTGTAGGCACGCTCGGACATGCGGGGTGCAAGCATGGGGCTGCCTGCCCTCGGCGGGCGGGCCGGGGTAGATATCCCCCTATTCAAACCCCGTTATATAATTTGGGCAAAATTGCAGGAAGCGGGTCAAAACTCCCTGATGTTCCCGGTGCCACGAGCAAGCTCTGGGCGTGTAGGCACGCTCGGACATGCGGGGTGCAAGCATGGGGCTGCCTGCCCTCGGCGGGACGGCCGGGGTAGATATCCCCCTATTCAAACCCCGTTATTAAACATGCCGCGAGCTGGTCCTGGCACGTCCTGGAGAGACCCGGCAAATAAATTGCCCACTTAACGAGCATAATTGGTGAAGATTAAAAATCGATGGGCGAGCTCAGGTGCCCGGCTCCGGCCCCCTCACCTAGGAGGCGATGCTCAGCCGCCGAGCCCGCTCCCCCCGGCCGCCTTGACCAGGAGATGGTTTATGTTTAACTAGACAACACACGAGCCCTATTCCCTTAACTAATTTTCCCGGTACCTTAACGGACAGAGCATTAATCGTCTCCTGCCATTATTTATTTATTTCCCCGGCAACGGTCTTGACAGGGCACCTTATTTTCTTTGTCAAATGCCATTAGCGCACGGCGGGAGCACGCAGCCGCGCAAGACAGATGCTGGTAATAATAATGAAATTCTCATTATTTACTCTCCCTTCTCTTGTGTTTGGTTTATTTATGTCTCCTGGGCACGGCCGGAGGCTGCGGGTTATTCTGTGAGTCAATCATACGAAGGCAATCGCCGCTGTTTTGCGGGCTCTCTTTGTATCCCAGCCGCATCCCGCATCGGTGCCGGGGGAGCCGGCTCCTCCATCCCTGGGAAAAGCCCCAGCTCCGGTCCTTGAAGTGGGAGCCGGCTCTTCCCAGCTTCACCCCTAGGCAATTTCCCTGCAGGAGAGGTTTTCCCAACCCGAGCGTTTCGTAGGATGGAGGTGATAAACTCTGTGTCTTTGCTGCCGGGCCGGCATCGCTCCCTCCCCAGGCTCCGGCGTCACCCGGCTCTTTCCCCTCTGTGCACTGTTTGCAAACCAGAGGATGAGGGGACAGGACGGAGAGTGGCATCCCGCTCTCCGACGGGCTTGGTTTTGTTTTTAGAAGACAGGAAGCTCTTTGTGGGCATGCTGGGGAAGCAGCAGAGCGAGGACGACGTCCGGCGCCTCTTTGAACCCTTCGGCCAGATCGAGGAGTGCACCATCCTCCGAGGGCCCGATGGAGCCAGCAAAGGTGGGCTTTGGGGAGCCGGGTGAGCACCCCGTGGGCCGCCGGGACCCACGGAGGGGGGGAGCGGCT